CTATATATATATATATATATTTATTTATTTATAAATAAGTGTGATTAGGATTGGTTTGAAGTAATTTTACAATCCAATTTGAAAATCGAACCAAATAGCATGATTTTGAAAATTAAAAAAATAGAGCAGTTAATTTACGATTTTCTATCGATTTTCAATTTTCTTTTTGGATCGGTTTATGATTTTATGCTTGGATTAGTTTGATTTTGAACACATCTACCCATAAGTTTTTGGCATTATGATCTGAAAGTAATGAACAATTGAATGCAAGTTTAAACATTCAAGCAAACATAATATTATTGAATCTTAGTCAATTAACAAGCCAACACAAAGTCATTTTTTTATTTTTTAGATGCACAAGAAAAAATAGATACATAAATGAAAGAGAGAATGCAACTTGAGAAGCAGCAAATGCCTCACTACACTCGATATCAGCAAAAGATTGATATGACGTTATATTCAGGGCTCAAAGACCAAGTTCTCTGCTTCTCGCTTTACAGATTCGAAGAGCACAGAAGATAGATAACGCTCTCCAAAACTTGGGAAGACCACCTACTCAGATTTTCAATGGGTTTATCAGTTATGGAATACAGAAGTAAATATAATAATAATAAAAATGCATCTATAATAACTAGATGATATCTCAGATAAATAATGACATAAGTTTCTGCCAATGATCAGCAATTAAGGACGCAATGTAACTATTCTGAAAATATTTTGAGTACATTCATATTTTGATATTGATTATAAAGCAGAACTAACAATGAACAATGACATTCACAGAAGAAAATCTGATGAACAGTTGTCAAACTTACAACAATGAGTTTTCCAGCATTTTCTGCCCTCCTTGCTATCTTAATTGCAGCAGCGGCAGCAGCACCAGATGATATCCCCACCTACAATATATATTTATAATACAAACAGAAATAGTATTAAAAATATTGTCTACTCCCAACCGACACCCATGGTTTCACCAAAGCACCCCAACTGACATGGACAGTTCAAATCATGCTATTAACAGAAGATGATGCACATAAACAAGCATGAGAGGAGGAAAGATCACCGACGAGCTAGGTTTATCTTCTAGGTGAACTTACCAGCAAACCTTCTTTCAAAGCGAGAAGTTTAGCAGTTTCAATAGCTTCTTCACTGGAAATCTAAAATCAAAAACAAATATAAGAGTTACTATCTGTACTTTCAGAATACATGAATAAATTATCATAACGCTTGGTTAGTGATGCTTCTTCCCATAAAAGTGAATTAACACACTTCTGACATTCAAGTTCAAGTTCCACTTCAAGTAGAGAGGAAAAAGTGATGATAATAGATCAAATTGCATACTTATGCAATAAAAAAAAATGCCTCCTTAAAATAATTCAAAATTTATTCACAAAGTCTAGATGACACTTATTAATGATATGTGCTAATGCTAAAAATTAGAATTTGATTTGCTTACAGAGTCTAGATTACTATGCAAAGTACAAAATTGGGCTTTGCAAGGAATAAAAGCATCACGTATAAAAACGGAGGCACAACAGATTACCATTGAAGCAAAAAAAAGAAGAAAAAAAAATCTCTTTATTTAAGCACCAATAAACTTATCAAAAAGGTTTGTGGGCTTACTTGAATAACTTCATCAAGTAAATCGACATCCAGAACACCAGGGATGAAGCCAGCACCAATACCTTGGATCTTATGAGGGCCTTATATCCATTTAACAACCATGTATATGTCAGGGGAAAGTTACATGAAAGGAAACAGACATTTGATAAATGTAAACCATAAAAAGTAATACATAATTTTTTTTATTGTTGTTGTTGTAATTGTAGAAGAGGAACGAAGGTAAGAAGGCAAGTAAATGCAGTCCTGTCATATATTAATTCAGGTACCATTTTGAACTTCAAAAAAACACAAATGTAAAGCACATTAAGGCTATGATTAAATAATATCATCAGTGCAGTAATAGCGAATGACAAGGCACATATTCCTCTAAATATAGGAAACTAAATTCAACAACTGATCAACAATTTTCTCGTAAGAGTGAGAAACCAAATAAACTTGTTAAAAAGAATTTTATGTATCTCTAAAACTACCAACTGTGATTTATATTGTTGGATTCTCCAAGAAAATTTCAAAGCATGGAGAAACAGGGAAGAAACCAAACTTCACAGTCGAGTAGATCTGATGGCAGCTGAAAGGTATAAAGACGTGAAGATGTGGGTAGATCTGATACCCTGTTAGGATCCAATTGCAAGGTATAGGACTCGAGTCTTACATTAGAAATATGGGATTCTAGTGGGAGGTTTATAAGACTTTCCAACTACAATAGCTAGCTTTTGTGGGTTGCTCTCCGGAAGTTTTAATCAATTGGCATCAGAGTTTCCCATCATGTCTCAGCTGCAAACAAGTGGCATGGGTGGTGACATCAACATAAGCTATTATAGTGTTTGTCCGAGACTAGTCAAAGAGCTAATGCAGTAGTGCACAGTAAACCTGCATGGGAGCTGAGACTGCAAAGTGTGGTAGGATGTTAAAATCCAATTGTAAGGTATGAGACTTGAGTCTCACTAGAAGTATGGGATTTCAGTGGGGGGGTTTAGGTCTTAAGTTTTCCAAATACAAAAACTAACTTTCGTGATATGTTTCATTCAATATTCTTATCATACCCACGTTTGCAAAAGAAAGAGTAATGTTGGTATAATCATGGAGTAAAACATCGTCACAGTAAAGTTCCAAACATTAAGGAACTTATAAATTTTAGAAATTTAGGTGAAGGAGAAAAGAAGATAGAACCGATTCTAGATAATGAAATATAATAGATATATGATGTGTAATAAAGAGTTACAAAATACAAAGCACTATCCCAGTAGCCCCTATCTGTACAAAATTAGACTCCTAATCCTAATTAAACAAGCAAAAAAATCATGAAATATGAAAGCCATACATAAGATATCATCTAAAGATACTTTAAAATATTCTAAGGTACAATAATAAGATTACCAGATATTTTCTAGATATTCTAACAGGTCGAATAATCAGAGACACTTGCTTTGAAAACACATAAATAATCAGTACTCACCAGGTTTCCCTCCAGACAGTACAGGACTTTCTACTGGTTCAACGCCATATAGCTGTTTAAAAAAAAAAGAATAATAATAATAGTGAGAACATTAAATGATTAACTCCAAATGAGAATATTAAAAGACTAACCTTTATATCAGGGTTCTGCTCTTTCAGATATTTTCCAGCACCTGTTACTGTACCTCCAGTCCCAATGCCAGAAACAAGAGCATCAACCTTCCCACTGGAGCCCTTCCAGATCTCTGGTCCAGTGGTTTCATAATGGATCTTAAAATAGGAGGAAGGAGATTAGGAGAGCATGTCTGAATACTCTTCAGCCAACTGATTTTTCAAACAAAGTACATTGACACAGTACCTTTGGGTTGGCAGGATTTTCAAATTGCTGAAGCATATAAGAATTGGGAATCTTATCCCTTATCTCTTCTGCCTTCTGAACAGCTCCTTTCATACCCTTGGCGGGATCTGTGAGAACTAACTCGGCTCCAAAAGCTCGAAGAATGGTTCTTCTTTCAAGACTCATTGAAGAAGGCATGGTTATAACAAGTTTATAACCCTTAGCAGCCGCCATGAATGCCAAGCCTATGCCAGTGTTTCCACTGGTAGGCTCAATGAGAACACTCTAATAACATGAATAACAGTAAACCATATTAATAGCCAAGTAAATAGTAAATAGTTTGCTTGAAAGATGACTTTGCAATGGAAATGATTGGTTAAGTGTCTTATATCCCGTGTTCAGATTTTAAATTTTGAAAGCAAGACGATGACAATATCAATGAGAATTAAACAACTACTCGTACAATACAGCCACAATTGGAAAGAAAAAGTAGAACAAAACTTTGATGCATTATGAAACATAGGTGCATTCAACGTGAATTTAAATATCCAAAGAAAGGAGAATCAAAAGCAAGAACTAACTTCACCCGGTTTAATGAGTCCCTGCTCCTCAGCGTCTACAATCATGCTATATCCTATCCTGTAGGAAAATAAATAATTATAATTACAAAATCTTTCTGAATACATATTATTGCATGCCATGGTTAAGAGACTTGGGCAACAATCATACAACTTGTATGCCAAAACTTTGATCAATCTAAGCATTTTTAAGAGGGAACGACCATAAACAGGCAAGCATCAAACCAGGAGTAAATGGTTAGACAGAAATTCTCCAGCTCACTTTCCACTATAAGAATGAAGAAATATATATACCTGTCCTTGACACTGGAGCAAGGTTCCATCATTTCTAACTTCGCAGCAACTTTGGCAACACAGCCATCCACGACATGGTTGAGATATACCAACGGAGTTTTGCCAATTAACTGCACATTTCAAAAATGAATTCGTATTTTTAATGTAAGCTAAATTGCTTCATCATGGAGACAAAAAGACAGCGTTGAAAATGACTTACTTCCGTCACATCTTTTGCAATGCTTGACTTCTCCACCGCCATATTAAGCAAAGCACTACAAAATCATAAAAACGGTTCAAAGATCCCGGTAAATACAAACAAAAAGATACAACATCGTCATAAACCAATTTATCCTGACTTGTATTGGTTGAGTTGACTTATCCAGTGACCAAAAACAAGTCAAATTTCCATTCAGAATGCATTGCATTGGTATATATAAATACTAAAGATGTCAATATTCACCGGATAAGAATCAGATCGTGATCCAATAAGAAAAAATGAAACTAAGTGGTTCAAGCCTCAGATTGACCAGGATATTTATAGTACTAATGTTTCAAAAATCATTGAAAAACTGGAATTCTTGTTCCTGCGTCATGAATCGATCGATCTACTAAGGAAAAAAAAATGTAGAACGAGTAAGATAAATTGATTAACTAAACCCCTAAAGCGAAGTTCAAACTTGAAAATCAAAGGTCAACGTGGTTAAAACACATGATTATCAATCAATTAACTAATCCATGAAGAAGGTACATAAAATTGGGGAATCTACTGTTTGTGCTAATGATTGCGGATGTTTTCGAGACAGGGGACATGAAAGTAACGTGCACATAAACGTGAGAATGAGGAGTTTAGAGTTATAGATACACAAAGCAGAAGAAGAGAGATAAAAGTTGGTTACAACAAACAAAACAATGCTATGATTGAGTAGTGAAATGGAATTGGATGGCTCACACAGTGAGTGAAGTGACCGCAACCTTATCCGAGCAAAGCGAGTTTCTGGTAAGAGAAGGTTTGAGAGAAGAAGAAGACTTGTAGGGATGAGGACGAGAAATTCTGTGAGCTCTTCCTTTCTCGATTGGTGTTTTGTTTGGACTTTATATTTGATATTTCCGAATAGCGTAGAGTGACCAGTTACCTCTTTTTTTTTGTCTTCTTCTATTGATCTTTGCCTTGCCTTTTTTGTTCCGTATTTCAAACCAGTATAATGAAAGTACACCCTTTTTTTTTTGTTGGAAAAAACAATCATATTTAAAGCTCATTTCTTCATGTACGTGTACTTTGTATTTTAATTTCTAGAATTAAAATTACTTGTTTTAACTTTTATAAAAAAAAATTTGTTTGCACGTAGTTTTGTCCACTATTTATCATAAATGTAATAATATGATTTTTTTATATTTTATTGATTAATCTTATATTATATGTTATTTAATTATTGAATTATTGTGTTATAATTATTTTAGAGTTTTACTGGTTAAGGAATCTTGAAAAATTAAGTTATTATTGAGACAATTTGAGTAAGAGTTAAATTGACCAAATTTAAAAAAGGATATTTTAAATTTTTCTTAAGACGTATTTTATAAATTCATATTTAAAAAAAAAAGTTAAAGAGATAAGTTTTAAAGTCAAAAGAAAACATTGTTTCTTTTTTATTTTTTTGAAACCTTGTAAGATTCTTCCCTTAGTTGAGCAACGACAATAGATTGTTATATTTGAAGCTTGAAAGTCGAGAATATGAGATCAAGAGTCATGCATAGAGTTCGAGTCTTTCTTCCTTCTTTCTTTCATCTTCTCATTTTTTGAGCAATTCAAGGTAAAAGAAAATTGTAGATTGAAAACTATTGAATTATAATTATTGTTTGATGTTTGGAATCATCATTTGTAGTTGAGATTGTTTAAAATCATGAGATGGTGTTGTTAGGAATGTTGTTCTTAAAGGTGTATTTGGAAGTCTTTGGTGATTTTGAGTTTGGTGGTTGCATGTTCAAGTTTTCACTTGAATTGAAGTCATATACGTTGCCTATATATTGAATGTTGAGCTACATGTTGGATCTGTTTAGTTAATTACATGTCTTTAACTAAATTGGTGACTTTAATATGTGCAAAAAACATTATCGCGTTAGGTGTGCATTCATAGTGTCAAACATGACTCGAGTTAAAGATTCTATATCCTGACAATGTTGAGTGCAAGATTAGTAACACTAATTACGGGTCAATGAGGAATTCTTTAACTTAATCATATTGGACGCAAAAGTGAGAGACGTCTAAGTGTGATTACTTAATGAGCTTTCTAACTTGATGGCTCCAACCACAAGTTAAGAGGCATCAAATGTAATTAGGTCAATGACTCTCTATTTGGACGACTCTAGGTACAGGTTTTGCGGCATCGAGCATGGGTTAGGTAAAGGCTCTTTGCCTAGATATGACTTGTGGGTGGATAGTAATGTTGGAGATGATTACTTCGGCATATACTATTCTAATGCAATATTTGTTGTATAAAAACGTTGGTTGGTGACATGTTGTTTTTGTTTACAATTTTGTATATTTAGTGTTTATTTTAATGCAAGAATTGTTTTATGTTTTTTTACATCTTATAGATGTATTTGTTGCATAAAAATCATAATATGGTTAATTAGTTTATGTATTTGGTGTATATTTATATTTTTATTTTTTTATAAATTCGTGTTTTTCTTAAAATTACACATTTACACCCTTCTTTTTATTTTTTAAGTTTTATGATAAAAAGTTCAAATTCACCCCATGGAGATTGGACTAAAACATGTGACGAATCAAAATTTTAAATTTTGCTTAAAATAAACTCAGATTTAATACATGACTATATATTAGATAGGATTATCTCAAAAAATAAAATACACGTGGGAATAAAAATAATAATGGAATGAGTTATTTGACTTTTTAATTAATGATATGTATCCACATTATGCTCATATAATAATTACTTGTTATAGCAGTTACTACTTTTTAATGGAAAGAAACTCCTTTTGATAGCTAATAATATTTATTTAAAAACAATAAGCGTGTCCCAGGCTCCCAGGTGGATTATTTTATTCTCCACTTCATTTTTGTCCATTGAGTCACGCTAACACGTCGCCACAAACAAATGAACTTGTCATACTACCCCAAAAAGAAAAACAAAACATAACAACCTGTAATGATAACTAATATTCCATCCAGTGATGATAGGGACAATATTGTTTTGTATTTAAATTATAGTAAACTTATTTATTTTAAATAAAACAATAATATAGTATAAACTTATCTTAATTTTTTAAATATTAATATTTTAGATTTAAGCCCATTGAAGCTTATTAAATAATTTTTTTAATTTATCGAAATTCCAATGAAAATATTTGGATTTGAACTTACGGTCATGAACATATTACCTCAATAAGGGATGTTAAAAAAAGTTATACTTGTGAATAAAATTCACTACGTGTAAAAAAAATGGATATTGACGGACGCACGGAGGCCCTGTTGACTTTTTCTTTAAAACATGCATTTCAGTAACATATTTTTGATAAATAATTATAAATTACTATTAGTAATTAATAAATAACTATAACAAGATTAAATATAATACTATTTTTTTATTTTTTTTTGGGAAATATATATATATATATATATGTATATTTTACGCTTCTTTTTTTTTCTGATATAAATTCAACTTTTGTTAAGCAATTCTTATTGTGATATGATAGTCTTTAAAATCCCCTTTATCATTATTTAATCATGTATTTATGCTTATGACCAGAAAAGTTAAATTGTTTTGAGGCTTTGAGTAATTTACCGTATACATCATTATTGTCCTAAACTAATGATTCATTAAAAAAATATAATATTTCAATTAAGTTAGTATTATGTTATTTTAAAGTTTCATGTGATGCAGCTAAAATGTAAAGTGGTCGGTAACTGCAAAATGTAGTTGTAATTCTTTATATTAAGAAAGTGTAAATACAATTTTTGGTCCGGTAATTTATAGTATTTTTATTTATAGTCTTTGTAATTTTGTTTATTATTTTATCATTAACCTTTTATAACATTTTAAAATAGGTTATTACTTTGATATATGTTATAAACAACATGTTTTAGTTCTTTTTTACTATTGTCCAATAGTATATAAACATGACACTTCATTTAATATTATTAATTTACTAATATTGCAATTATGTTTTAGGTAAGTCAATGGGATGTCTCGCAATGAAGAATAGACTGATGGCAATGTGGAAAACAACTGGGGGTTTTGATACTATGGACATGGGAAATGGTTTCTATATGGTCAATTTTGACCTCGCTATCGATAGAGATAAGGTGATATTGGAAGTTCCGTGGGTGATATATGATCACTACCATGTTGTAAGGGAGTGGATGCTAGATTTCATAGCCCCGAAAGTTTAGATCGACAAAACCATGGTGTGGATTTGTTTCCCAAACCTCATACTACGAGGAAAACATCTTGCTGGCTCTCACTTCTACAGTAGGACGACTCGTGAAAATGGATTTGACAATATTAAATGCCTCAAGAGGGAAGTTCGCCAACATTTGCGCTGAGATAAACATAGACCAGCCAGTCACCAGCAAAGCTTGGTTTATAAATCATTGGTTTAAGATTGAATACGACGGCTTATGTTTGCTATGTGAACCTTAAGTTCTAAATAACTTAGGTATAACTCAACGACATGTAACAATCACATCATTCAAATAGTATATCATTTATACATAATGAAGCAAAAACTAAATGCTATAACTATCAAATTCAAATCTATTTGTGTGATTGTGTATTATATAGAGGATGACATACATAAATAAAATGTGAGTATAAAATAAACAGAGATAAAGACGAAAACAAAATGAATAGAAAGATTGAAAGTAAAGAAATCTGAAAAAAAAATGTAATAAGAAAAATAATTATATCTAGAAGAAATTTCTTTATGAAATTCTTTTGTGTGAGAAGTTGAGTAAAAAAGGATCAATAGATCAGAGAATGACCACATAATTTGAGAATGAAAATAACGACGTAATTTGAAAATGACTTTAAAGGAAATAAGTGGTGGGTTTTTTTTTTTTTGTAGATTCAGAAAATTACAAGCAAGTAAGAAAAAAATGGTGGGTTTAAGATTTAGATTATGAATTTAGTGGCAAAATAAAAATATTTTTTAATTATAATTTCAGTTAGAATTGAAAAAAATAAAGAACTAAAATACTTTAATACCTTTACTTTTTACACGTGACATAATATAAAGAAATCTAATTATGTAAATTTTATAGTCTATTCTCTCCCTCTATATATATTCTTAAATTTCAATGGAAAAAAAAAAGAGTCTATTTTATTCAACATCGTATCAAAAAAAATATATTATATATATAAAAAAAAATATATATATATATATATATATATATATATTAGTGTAAAAATTGGATTTAAAATCGGAAAGGTAACCGATCTTAAAAGTGACGCAGTGGCAATTTTGTAAATAATATGAAAATTTTTAATATCGGTTAAATTTTAACCGATCTTAAAAGTACTTTTAAGATCGGTTATTTTATGACGATCTTAAAAAGTATGTCTGACACAACTTTTAAGATCGGTTACAAAACAATCGATCATAAAATAATCAATCTTAAAAGTACTTTTAAAATCGGTTATTTAAGAACTGATTTTGTATGTAGTATACAAAGTCGGTTCTTAAATAACTGATTTTAAAAATATCGTCAGAAACCTTTTATATTTCCCTCCATTCTCATTCTCTTTAATCTTTCCCTCCATTCCTTTTTTTACTCTATCGTGCTCTCATTTTCTAAAGTCTCCCATAAGGTAAATTTCGTTGTCGTTTTCGTTTTTGTTTTCTCATGCTCTTCTCGTGTCTCTTTTTGTCTTCTCATACTCTTCTCTTGTTTCTATTTTCGTTGTAGGTTCATTTTGGGTAAATTTTGAATCTGAAACGGTCCGTTCTGCAAGAAGAATACGGCCCGTTCTGCAAGGAGAACAGCTCGTTCTACATGGAGAACAACCCGTTCTGAAAGGAGAACGGTCCGTTCTGGATTGGTTTTAACTCATGTCAAACTATGCTAGAACGGTTCGTTCCAAAGTATA